TATATATATTATATATATATATATATATATTATATATATATATAAAATATATATAATATGTATATATATAATATATATATAATATGTATGTATATACATATAATTACCATAAAATTCACCTTTTTTGAAGTGTGCAATTCAGCGGTTTTAGTATCCTTCAGAAGTGAACAACCATCACCCCTATATAATTCCAGAGCATTTTCAACACCCCAAAGAGAAACCCCATACCCATTAGCAGTCACTCCCCATACTGTAGCCCCTGGCAACCACTAACCTGCTTTCTGTGTCTATGTGCTTATTGCCTACTGCCTATGTGTCTATTTGCCTATTCTGGGTGCTTCCTGCACACGGAATCACACAATGTGGCCTTTTGTGTCTGTCTTCTTTCACTTTAGCAGAATGTCTTCAAGGTCCATCCATGTTGAAGCATATATCAGTACTTCGTTCCTTTTTACGATTGAATACTATTCCATTGCATGGATATACCATATTTGTTGTTCACTGATCACTCGACAGACATTGAAATGATTTCCATCCTTTGGCCATTACGAATAACGTAGGCATGAACACTGGCACATTAGTCTTTGTGTGAACACGTTTTCAATTCTCCCAGGGGTGTCACTACGTTGAACCCCAAGACCCTTGCCTAGAAGACCACAGCCCTGCGGGATGAGAGAGGCATCTCAAGGAGAGGGCATCTGGACCGTGGGTGGGAAAGAGGACCACGAGGGCTGTGTCTCTGCCCTGTCTGCCCAGTCCCATCTCTCAACAAATGCCCTCATGCCTTCTTACACTCTTGGGGTGACCCAAATGCCTCAAGAACCCACTGTCCTGATGGCCCCTTTATGGTTCACAGATCACCCACACCACTAGCCTGTGTGACCGTGGCCCTCGGGAGGTTGGCTGCAGTGTGAGAGCCCCCATTTGATGGTTGCGCAAACTGAGATGCAGAGGGGTAAGTGACCTGCTCAAAGCCACACGGATGACCTGAGCTCAGTTCTGCTGTCTCCCGCACAGAGAGCACCAGGCCGGGAAGTCTTTGTTCCAGACACAGAGAGCTACCTGGAGACTCAGGACGATCTCTGGGGTCTTTTCCTTTTTAGTCAAACTTGGAATGTCCAGGCGGTTAGCTTCAGGAGAAGGTGGTTCCTCCATCGGCAACCAGGTCCAGGCCCTGGAGAACCTGTTCATGACCTATTTATGTACCTTGATTGCTTGGCAGTTTAAAAATGCAGGGCAAGCAAGGTTTGGTTCAGTAGTCTGGCTCTGGCCTTGGGCATCCCATTTGTGGCAGATTTCCCAGAGGATTCTGCCATATATCAGGGTTTGAGAATCACTGCTTTAAACCAAAGGAATCCCCTTCCAGCTTTAGGCCGTTGGCCGCGCACACGCATGCGTGTATGGGGGGGCGGGGCGGGGAGACTGGGTCCTTGCCTGCCTCCTCCCATCATGGCCAGATGAAAAGAAAGGCTTTGAGCCACCACCCCCCCTTAGCTGGTGAGTTCTCCACCCTGCCCTCACTGAGCACTGAGCAGACAGAACAGACACCCATTGACATCTGCAGCTATATTCCCTCAGTTCTGAGAAGCTCCTTTTTTTCACATCTTAACATTATGCTATCAAGATGCATTTGACAATTTTAATTGGAAGAACTTTTTTTCTTAGTGGTACATAAAATACCGGTATGTTTTACCATCAAGGATATCTTAGAGTTGAAGACACGCAGGATGCACCAAGCACAGAGAGCTGGAAAGAATGCCCCAGGCGGTGCGCATTCCCAGCACCTACTGTGCATCAGGCACCTCAGGACACCTACTTTCTCCATCTCCTGTTCACTCTGCAAGGGAAGTACTGGTGGCAACGGCTCCATTTTACAGACGAGCAAACTGAGACACAAGGTCAATCCACTTGTTCTAGGTCACATAGCTAGTAAAGTCGCAGAGGCAAGATCTTAACACAAGCAGCCTGGCTCTGTGTGTGTAACCTGTGGGCTCTGCCGCCTTGTAGGAGTCCCCAAGCGAAAGGTGGTGGGGGTTAACGGGGTCAAGGGGTGCAATTCAGATGACGGCACCGGCCCAAGTGACACAGCTCATGCCTGAAGAGCTGACAGCCAAGGGGGCAGGTGAGGCGTGAGCATGGGTCCAGAGTCCAGGGACCCAGAGTCTAATTTTTGCAGGCCAGGCAAAAATTAGGTTTGATTTTAGGCGTCGCGGGAGTCCCCGCTGTGTTTTAACGTTTTTGTGAGTTTCATGGCTGCTGTGTGCAGGATGGACGGTAGGGGGCGTCGGCGGAAGCAAAGCCCAGATAAAAGAAATGATTGGTTAGGATTTAGGCAGTGAGTGGGGGAGGAGAGAAGGGTGAGACCCGGAGGAGTTTGGGAGTCAGACCCCAAGCTTCAGAGCAGCAGCCCTCAACCGGGGCCAGTTCCCCTACACCACCAGGGGACATGTGGTAACGTCTACAGACATTTTTGGTTGTCACAACGGGGAGAGGGGAGTGCTACTGCCATCCAGTGGGGAGAGGCCAGGGATGAAGACAGACCCCTCCCCCCAATACGGACACACCTACAACAATCATTCCGTGTCAAATGTCCACGTGCCCAGGGGCAGAAAGCCTCCTGAGAGCTGCGGGCTGGGAGCAGGGGTGTGGGGGAGGGGATAGCAAGGACCGGAAGTGAGCAGGAAGGGAACCCCTCATCCCTCCCTGCAGGGCAGCCCTGGGGCTGGGGCGAGAGCTGTGCCCAAGGCAGAGGTAAGACTCCTGGGAGGGTCCTGAGGATGGGCGCAGTCTCTGTGTAGGAAGACCCTCTCACAGGCAGAGCCCTCCCATGATGAAAGGAGCCACCAGCAGGAGGAAGTGTCACCCCGTCCAAGTGTAAGCTGGAGATCTGTCCTGGGCAGGTGGCTGGCTACCTACCAGGTTAAGAGACCCCAGTATGCTGGGAGGGGGCCGGGCTGGGAGGTGGGGCACGAAGTCCCTAGTGATGCCTGCAGGGCTGTGGAGGAACCGAGGGATGTCCCAGGTGTGGGTGAGGAGGTGTTCCGCACTGTCCCCAGCCTGCAGCATTTCCTGACACCAGGTCACCGCCCGGCCACAGCACTCCACCCCTCAGGCCTGGGCCTGTGTAGACAGTGTTTGCTCTGGGGTGATGAAATCTTCACAGGGGAAACCCAGCTTTGGGACTGGTTTTCAGCATGAGGTGGGATCGGCGCCTCCTCTGCAAAACATTGCCCGATTCTTCATCACTGGCTCTTTAGGAATCCTCTAGCTTGAGTGTAGAAAGCTGCAAGGCCCAGAAACAGCGTTCCTAATCTTGCTCGAAATTCCATCACTAGACAGACGCTAGTTCATAAAATCACACGGAGAACTGACAGAAGCTCAGAAACCCACTCGCATTTGACAGAGCAGCGCGGAGGCTTGTGAATGTGGGAGAGCTGCGGCAGAGCTGAGGCTCCCTACCCTCCGGCCACCCCAAGATCTCCGCGGAGCCTGCGCTGTAAAGGTGTGTGGAAGAGTGGGAAGGTCTCCCGGGAGGAGGTGGGGAAGGGAATCTGCAGGCCACAGCCCCACCCCTGCAGGCTCCCAGCCTAGGACAGGTGAAGTCAAAGCGCATGCCATCTCGCCCTCTGCTGGCCACCTGGCGGTACTGCTCACGCTCTGCAGGGGTGACGCACCAGGCCGGCCCGTGGGCAGCAATCCTGAAACACTACAGTGGAACGAACTGTGGCAAATCAGGGCAGGCGTCCCACCAGTGTCAATAGTGCCGAGGTTGAGAGACCCTCCTCGAGGGCTGCCTGGCTGGGGGAGGATCAGGAAGGGCAGTGGAGGGGATAGGCACAGACCCTGCTTGTCTACGCTGACAAGATCTTGGGAGGGCACCGTGCAGAGGAAGCAAATATGGGGAGAAGACCTCCCCCAATCTGGACCCTCAGGTTAGCCTCAGCACTGCCCATTCACTCTGCCCTTCAACATCTATCACTCCTCATGAGGGTAGAAATCCCTGCCACTCAACTTCCTGCCCTCTGCCCAGCTCCTGCCCGGCTGTCTTGCCCTGCCCTGCCCTGTCCCACCCTTGCCCTTTGCCCAGGAGGCCCTGCTTACTGTGGTGCTAGGGGCTTCTGTATCCCAGCTCTTTCCCTGCTTTTGCTAGTCCTTGCTGGGCCCCCAGGACTGTCAGAAGGGAGCAAGGCAGCAGCCCTGAGTCCCATGCTGAGTGCCCACGAGTCGGTGAATTGTTTAACCTCTGTGAGCCTGTGTTCTCCCTCCCCTCCCCCTCCCCGCCCTTTACGAGCTGGGGACCTAATTCCAGCAGGGGCAGGAGGAGGCGGGGTTCCAGGATGGGGTGGGAGAAGCCAGGCAGGTGTGAAGGTCAGAACAGTAGAGCTCTGGGCTGTCAGAGTCCTCCACAGCACGTGCAAGCTTCCCCAGAGTCCCCACTGACTTAGTAAAATAACACTAGCTCCTAGTTTACTGAGAACCTACAAGGTGCTTTCCTGACATCTCAGTGAATCCATCCAACTCAGTGATGTATGGCATTATCTCTTTACATATGAGGAAACTGAGGCTAAGAGAGGCTGTGAAACTCACCAAGGTCGCAGCTGGTTTGTGGCAGACTGGTATTAAGACCTAGTCTGTCCAGCTCCAGAGGCCACACTCTGTGGCTTTCTTCTCCTCTATTTCCAGGGAACGGCCAGCTGACCCTGCCTGGCACCTCTCTGTGTCCCCACTGCCTTCCTACCCTGTCCCATCTGGCCAATAAGCCATCCCTGCCCAGCTGCTTATGTCTGAGGGTTTAGTCTATCTGGGATTCAGTAAAAGGAGCCAAGGGGTCTGTTAAGTCCCAGGGTCTGTTTCACTCAGGACTGACATTTGAGTCCAGGATCGAGTACCCACAACGGCATGAGATGCCCTGAGTCACAGTGAGAGATTCAAAAGCGCTCAGAGTAGGAGGGCTCAGTCTGCTTCCTGAGGAAGCTTCCTGAGGAAACTGAGGTTCCGAATAGGGCAAGACCTTGCTCAAGAATTTGTTGAGTGGCATTGGTCACACCTTTGTCTCTCTCAGACTGTCATTCTCCTCATCTGATGAAATGTGGGGCTAGATGGTCTCTTAGGACCTTGAGTTTACTACATTCACCCCCATACCTGACTGCCGCGGGGTTTACACCTATAAGATACGTATGTGTGCCACACTATATGCCCCACAGAGTGCCTTCCAACCCTGTACACTCATCATTCCTCACATTGGCTCCACATCCCCGCAGATGAGAAACCATGGCCAGAGAGAAACTGGACTCTTTCTTAGGCCACATAGTGGCATGGCCAAATAAGCCCCTACCTCCCCGCCCAGTATTCTGCTCCCTGCACACAGGACCATGCTTCCGCCACGGACATGGCCATGCTCCATCCAGTCCCAGTACTCACCGAGACAGGGAAATAGTCCCTCATGTACTTCCACAAGAAGCAGCGCCTTATTGCTTGGAAGGACCTGCCCCCCTGCCGTGGCTTTTCTCGGTCCAGGTACCACCAGGTCGCATACAGGACACTGAACAACCAGAATCTTGTGAACAGGAGGCCCACGAAGACGACAACACAGATCTGGGCTGGGGAGGGAAGCAGGAGCCATCAGTGGTCAGGTCTGAGAGGAAGGACGTGAAGCTGTCCACGCTGAGTCCACCCATATGCCCAGCACTAGCAGCACGAACCTGTCCAGCCCGTGGCCCCGGGAGGAAGAGATCGGCTTCCCACTCCTTCAAGGAGGGAATGCACCTGCCAATGTCATGCTGGGAGCACAGATTTGAACCCTAGGCAGGCTGAACTTCAAAACTCACTTTTCCCACTGTACTGGGTCCCAGACCCTGGTCTTCCCTCTCCCCCTCCTTCTCCCCAGTAAAATAGTCTGCATTCACCAGGTGCTCAATGCTTGCTGGACAACTGATTGGGTTATTTCTTTCTAGTTTCCATCTCCTGGGACCTTGGAGAAAACGGAGACACTTTTTCTCTGCCCAGCCCTCTTTCTGTTGACCCTCTGCCCTGTTTTCCCACAGACAGAGCTGGCCAGATCCTCCTCTTATTGAAGCCCTTTCATGGCTTTCCCATAACTGGAGGCACTGCCCAGCCAGCTCAGCCTGGCATTCAAGCTCCGCGTGAGCTGGCCCTACCTGCCTCCTGCTCCAGCCTCACCTCAACCACATGCACCCCCAGTGCTCTGGCCACATGACCTGCTGTGTTCCTACAGCTCATTCAGCTCTTTCAATCCCTTAGCTTTTGCTCGTGCTGATTCCTCCGCTTGCAGTGCCTTTCCTGGTGAAGGAGGAAGGGAGAAAGAGGCCACGCGCTGGCTGGACCAGGCCCAGCGAGGAATTCCCCCTCTGACCTACAGTTCCGAATCCCTTGCCATAGGCTAGAATCCCAGCTTCATCTCAGGGGCAGCTGGTCTGTGGGCCATCCCTAATCTGATGCTGATGGAAAGAATATTCCCAGGAAATATGGCTCCTTCCCCTTCCCATTTCCTCTACTCAACACCGTGCACTTATCCTCTTAAAGAAGGTCGGCTTCCTGTTGTATATTCTACTTGAAAGTAAGGCAGATGGGGCCTGTCACTCGTGGCAGGTTTCCTGGAGGTGGGGACTTTTGACCCAGTCCGAACAGTGGTAAAATTCATAAGCCCAGATGACGTAGAATTGGGGCTCACAGATGTTCACTTTACACAGAGCACCTCCGACATGCCAGTGCTGGTGGTAGAGCCGTGAACGACAGACACAAAGTCCTGCCCTTGTTGCACCCGGGCACTTCGTCTTTTAAATTGTTATTGAGGTTGACAGGAAGCCATCAAAATGCTGGAGGAGAAAGCAGGCAAAAACCTGCTTGTAGCAGGTTTTGATCTTGCCCGAAGCAATTTCTTACTCAACAGGTCTCCGGAGGCAAGGGAAACAAAAGCAAAAATGAACTCCTGGGACCTCATCAAAATAAAAAGCTTCTGCACAGCAAAGGAAACAATCAGCAAAACTAAAAGGCAACCGACAGAATGGGAGAAGATATTTGCAAAGGACATATCCGATAAAGGGTTAGTATCCAGAATCTACAAAGAACTTCTCAAACTCAACACCCAAAAAACAAAGAATCCCGTGAAGAAATGGGCAAAAGACATGAATAGACCCTTCTCCAAAGACATCCAGATGGCCAACCAACACATGAAAAAAATGCTCAACTTCACTCATCAGGGAAATACAAATCAAAACCACAATGAGATACCACCTCATACCTGTTAGAATGGCTAACATTAACAACTCAGGCAACAACAGATGTTGGCGAGGATGCGGAGAAAGAGGAACCCTTTTGCACTGCTGGGGGGAATGCAAACTGGGGCAGCCATTCTGGAAAACAGTATGGAGGTTTCTCAAAAAACTAAAAATAGAACTACCCTATAACCCAGCAATTGCACTACTAGGTATTTATCCAAGGGATATAGGAGTGCTGTTTTGAAGGGGCACATGCACCCCAATGTTTACAGCAGCACTATCAACAATAGCCAAAGTATGGAAAGAGCCCAAATGTCCATCGATGGATGAATGGAGAAAGAAAATGTGGTATATATATACAATGGAGTATTATCGGCAATCCAAAAGAATGAAATCTTGCCATTTGCAACTACGTGGATGGAACTGGAGGGTGTTATGCTAAGTGAAATTAGTCAGTCAGAGAAAGACAAACATCATATGACTTCACTCCTATGAGGACTTTAAGAGACAAAACAGATGAACATAAGGGAAGGGAAACAAAAAATAATATGAAAACAGGGAGGCGGACAGAACAGAAGAGACTCATAAATATGGAGAACAAACTGAGGGTTGCTGGAGGGGTTGTGGGAGGGGGGATGGGCTAAATGGGTAAGGGGCACTAAGGAATCTACCGAAATCATTGCTTCGCTATATACTAACTAATTAGGATGTAAATTTTAAAAAATAAAAAATAAAGTTAAGCCAAAAAAAATTGTTATTGAGGTTAAAAGATGCGTAACATAAAGTTTGTCGCCTTAACCGTGTCTAAGCTCACAGTTCAGTGGCGATGAGTTCATTCACATCCCTACTGCCCATCTCCAGACCTCTTCATCTTCCCAAACTGAACCGCTGTACCCGTTCAACACTGACTCCCCGTGCCCCTCCCCCATTCCCTGCCAGCTGCCATTTGATTTTCGGTCTCTACAAATTGGACTATTCTAGGAACCTCCTATGAGAAGAATCATGAGGTGTTTGTCTTTTTGCGACTGGCTTATTTCACTTAGCATAACGTCCTGACGGTCATTCGTGTTATCCATGTTGTAGCAGCATGTGTCAGAATGGCCCTCCCTTTTTTGGCTGGAAAATATTCCGTTGCATGTATATATCACATTTTGTTTATCCCATTCATCTGTCAGTGGACCAATGGACACTTGGGTTCCTTCCACCTTTTCCCTTTACTCTAAAATATTATTAAACTGGTTACTAATAATGAAAAATGGGGAGGCCTCACGTACAAACCCTGACATCTGCTATGTCTTGAAAAAAAAAAATTGAAAGAGGCTACTAGGCTGCCCAGCTGCCGCAGCCAAGTATAAGCCAGTCCTGCTTTGCACTCAGGTCATCATGATTCCTCTCTGCTTGTTGAGTTCTGTGCCTCACACATCAGCTTCAGCTGACAGCTCAGAGCCTGGAGCCTGCTTCGGATTTGTGTCCCCCTCTCCCTCTGCCACTTCCCCAAGATGCACTTATCATGTTCTGTCTTCTGCCACGATGAACACTAAAAAAAAAAAAAAAGATGAAAAGAGCAAATGTTAAAAAAAAAAAAAGAAAACTAGAAGGAAACAGTGCAGCCCCGAGTCACCAAGTTTCATGGTCAGCTCCCCTCCCCTCCCACTGCCCTCCCCCACATCTCAGACCATGGCTAGTTTCTGCCCCCTGCTTTTATCCTCACCTAGCCTTTATGTTCCTGGAGGGGGGTGGAAAGGACCGGGCATGCTTGTGGGGTTGGTCACCTGTTGTCTTGGGCCATATGGTTTTAAGCTTACTTATTTTGAGAGAGACAGACAGCAGCATGGCTGGGGAGGGGCCAGAGAGAGAGAGAGAGAGGGAGGGAGGGAGGAGAGAGAGAGAGAGAGAGAAGGAGGTTCTGTGCCATCAGCACAGAGTCCTATTACATACATGGATTAAACTCACTGCCATGAGATCACATGACCTTGTTTTCAAAATCAAGAGACGCTTAACTGACTGAGCCACCAAGTTCTTAGCAGAGACACAACTTGGAAAGAAAGTTGTAGCAGAGTGGGAATGCCACCTGGCTTTTACATGAAAGAACATTAGCACTATACATGTGTTGTAGAGGAGAAAAGGAGCCCACAGTTCTGAGGTGAAGGACAAAGATACAGGAGAGAAGAGTTAAATTTTTTTATTTATTTCCTTCCGTATTAAAAGTTTTTAATGGGGAGGCCTGGTGGCGCAGGGAAGTCGGTTTGGGGGCGTCCGACTCAGGGGGTCACGATCTCGCGGTCTGGGAGTTCGAGTCTCATGTCGGGTTTGGCTGGCTGGCTGATGGCTCGGAGCCTGGAGCCTGTTTCCGATTCGTCTCCCCTCTCTCTGCCCCCCCCTGTTCATGCCTGTCTCTCTCACAAAATAAATAAACGTTGAAAAAAAATTTAAAAAAAAGTTTTTACTGAATCTCAGCTAGGCCCCTCTCCCCTTGGGCAAAATCAGAAGTCTCTATAGGTGTCTCCCTGCTTTGTTCATTTGAGGGGCTCCTCTGGGTGGCTCTCTCGGCCAGTTGCTGCCCACCCCCCCTGCTAATGTCATGATCTCATGAGCCAGTGAGTTTGACTGCCAGGCTCCAGCCGCATTAACAGGGAGCCTGTGTTTTGTGATTTCCTCCTCCTGCACTCTCTGTATGCCTGTGTGTGTGTGTGTGTGTCTCAAAAAGTGAATAAATGCTAAAAAAAATAAAATAAAATAAAAACCAGCTTGAGAGAATAAAAACAAATGGCTAATAGTGGCTATCTGGAGGGTAGGATTTGGGGAAGTCTATTGCTTTTAGGACACACATTATTATGTTTGAATGTTTTATGATAGCACATATCAGTTTTGTGGTCAGAAAAAGACGTTAAGATAAAACACACAGGGCATTGGCAACGGACCAGAAAGATCTCCCCCACACCCACCATCCCCCTCACCCTCAGCTCACCCTTCAACTCCTCTCAGCAGACAAACCTCCAGGCTACAGGTCACTTAGGAAGGGAGACACTTTCTTTCACTTAATCCTCACGACTCTGAGAGGAAACATTTTAAACCTGACTTTACGAAGGTCCAGAGAGGGTACGCCAATTGGTTAAGGTCACACAGCAAGCTGGGAGGATGGAACCTGGGATTCAACTCTACCATTTTGGTAGCATCATGCTCCCATTTATTCACTCAACAAATATTCACGGACTCCGACTCTTGTAGGAGCAGGAGTTGCCGCTGAGGACACAGACGAGATGTTTGAATGGCGCTTACCTTCCTGGGTGAGTTATAGAGGAGAGGAAAGGGAACAGTAAGCAAGTTACCCACTTGGGAGGTATTTGGCTGTTGGCCCTGAGTCCTTAGTGCCAAGTCCTAGTTGACTTCTCCGGCCACTTCTCTGGCTTCTGCCATTCCCCAGAATGTCTCCTCTGACACCAGCATCTACCAGCTATTCAGTAAATGTGCATGGTCTTTACTCCTCCACCGGAAGCCTTTACTCTCAGGCCAGCCTTTCAATCCTGCCCTGTGGACCCATCTCCTAGGTAGCTCTGAATGGGGCCATTTCTCTCCACCCACTGCCAGCCTCCCTAGACCAGGGTGGGCAATCTTTTTTTTTGAAGGGACAGGTTACAAATATTTTAGACTTTGAGACTCGAGAGCCAACTTGGAGGTTATCACATAGGGATCTAACCGTTTAAAATGCAACCATTTAAAAATGTAAAACTCCTTCTTAGCTCATAAACTTTACAAATACTAAAACAGTCAGTGGGCTGGATTTGGCCCATGGGCCATAATGTGGTGACCCCTGATGTAGGCAGTGATTGCTCCAGCCATCAGTCCATTCTCCCATAATCCAAACTGTGGATACATCCACTGTGCAGCCACAGGGTCCTTTGGCACGCAGATTAGACCTTGTCACTCCCCTACCTAAAGCCCTTCTGAAGCTCCCCTTTGCCCCCAGGAAAAGGGATACAGTAAAACCTTCTTGTCCTAGCACCAGTGAGCCCAGATCCCCTTTCTCAGCTGTCCTCCCTCTAGTCCTCCAGGCCCAGGGCTACTTGACCTCTCTGTGCTGCTCCTGACATTCCCAGGCTCCTACTCCCCAGGTCTGCAGGGCTGGGGGATGGAGGCAAGGTGGGTGCAGCGGCAAGGACAAACCCAATCACGCTCACAAAGCTCACGCGAGACATGTGCATGATGAACCTCATTCTGTGTGATCCCTAGGCCACAGCCCACCTCTGGGCCCCCGGTGACCTTTGTCCAGGAGCCAGCAAACTTGTAGCATGCCCTGGGCTGGGCCTCCTTCCCCAGGCTCTATCTGCCCTTTAGTCTCTTAGCCTCACCTGCTCCCACGCCCTCTGCCCTCTCCCCTCTCTCTGCTCCTCCTTCCCTTTCTTCCTTTGGCTGTGGAAGGAGCCCGGGACTCAGGCCCTACAACCTTGGGCAGTTAGGGTACTCGGTTTCTCTGCTCGTCTTTGTACCGGCGATAACCAGGGATATTTCATGTTTAACTACGCTTGGCACGGAGACACAGATGAATTGTAAGCGATGTAGGGTGCTGGAGGGCATGCTTTTCCGGGGGTGATTCCTTCAGCTGCAGAATTGTGAGGGGGTTCTGCAGGAGCACCTGGTATGTGTGGGTGTGTGGGGGTGTGTGTGGAGGGGGCTGGGGATGTGTGGGGGTGAAATGGCTGTTGACCAGCCTGTACAGAGTATGCCCATATTGTAACACCTTGCATCAATGCACAGGCTGGACACCAGCCGTTGGGGAAGCCATGCCTGCCCAGTCTCGTGCTGGCAGAGGAGGTGAAGATTCCCACATGCCCCCAGTCACTCTCTTCCCATGCTCAGCCCTGGGAATGTCCTCTGAATGTCCTGCTGAAGAAATGTCCTCTTCAGCAGAGGGGAGTTGGGGCAAGTGTGGTCTCCCTGGCCACGATCAACGTGCTTACCGTGGGGGTAGGGTGGGTAGGGGAACCGACGCATGTTTCCCGTGGGATCCCAGCCCAGGGGTTGGACCAGATGTGTGCTGGGCAGAGCAAGCACGTTCTTCACTTCACCCCACAGCAGCCTGGCAAGGGCAGCTTTGGTATTCCCATTCTACAGCTGATGCAGTAGAGGCCCACAGAGGTCAGGCATGGGTCCAGTGAGGTCACGCGGATGCTCGGTTGCCCAGCCAGAGTCTGACCCAGGCTTGTCTGGGACCCCGCTCACTCCCCTGGGTCCTTTCCTTGTTCCCCTCTCTTTCCCCACCTGCCAGGCTCAGTGTCCTCCTCTCTGAAAGGAAGGAAAGAAACCCATTCCCTCTGAGGAGCCTGGAAATTTCCCACAATCACCTAGATCCTTCCCCACACCACCAGGCTGCCTGAGGCAGGGTCTCTGTCCCGGTACTAAAGTAGGTGGAACCCCCACCCCAGGAAAGCTCGGTAACCTGCTGGAAGCCACAGGTGATGGCTTCTACCCCACCCTACCCCCACACCCTGCCACGCCCTCCAAAGCCTCCAGGCGGGGGACTTTTCGGGCAGGGGCTCTGAGCACAGCAAAGCCCCCTTTCGAACGGATGTCTTTCCACCATCGATGCGCTGTGTGCACCCGAAGCGGCAGATGCCCGTGGTCTCCCAGCCCCCAGCCCATCTCTCCTTACCCAGGGCCAGGAAGGAGAAGACCCACTGCAGGACCATGAAGGTCTGCAGCCGGCGCTCCCATGGCACGAACAGGGGTGCAAACTCCACCATGCTGGCTCCTCCACCGGCTCCAGAGGCTTCTCTGAGCACTGCTGTCGTGTCTGAGACACCGGCTGGTTTTTGTTGCCACTGGAGGTTGCGTCAGCATTTGTAGGGGGGTGGGAGGAGGGGTGTGCCCTTCCCAGCCCCACCCAGCCTCAAGGCCTCTGGCCAGGACCTGTTTCCGAGGAGAAACCTTTGAATCCACCTGCCCTGGGTCTAGCTAAAGGGAGGGGAAAAAAAAAGGAAGTGTGTCAGCCTTATCCAGGATAGTTGCCTCCTCAGGCAGGGCCGTATCTGCTGCTGATTTCTCTCTGCTTGTTCGAATCTTACCCTTCACTTGAAGGTGGTTGCCCCAACAGAATAATGCAATCCTGTCCTCCTGTATCCGATGAGCTGGCTCCAGAAATTATCTCCCCTCTCTCTCCTGTCATGTCCACGGCTCGCCCGCTACAAACGTGCAGTCATAGCGCTCACCTAAAAATTCCTTGGCCCCACCATCTCCTCCCCCTCTGCCTCATTTCTCAGCTTGCCTGCACAGCACAACTCTTGGGAGAGCTGTCTGCGGGCCACACCTTCGCCCCCCTCTCTGTCCGCCCCATACTTCAGACGCCACCATTCCCTGGAACTGCCCTCGACAGAAGTCCACTAATGGCCTCCATGTTGCTAAGTCTAGGGTCAATTCTCAGATCTCTTCTTACCCCATCAGCAGACTGAGACACGGTTGATTACTCCCTCCTCCTTGAAATCACCTGGCCTGTGGATGGCACACTCTCCTGGTTTCCTTCCTGCCTCTCTGGCTGCTCCTTTGTCTCCTTTGTGGCTCTCATCCTTTACCTGATGACATGTTTGAGCACCTTCCTGCCCCCTCAGTCCTTGGACCTTCTCTCTCCTCTCTACGCTCTCTTCCTTGGAGATCTCATCCGCCCTCGTGGCCTTGTATTCTACCTATATGATGAAAGCTTTCAGATCTCCGTCTCTAGCTCTGCTCTCCCCCTGGGGCTCCAGACTTGAATATCTAGGTGGCTACTTGACATCTTCACTTGAGAGCCTGCCGGACGCCTCCATCATAGAACGTCTAAAAACTGAACTTGAATTCTCCTTACCTGCCCCCGCCAACCTCTCCTCTCCTCTTTGCCATCTCAGTGAAGGATAACTCCACGAACTTGGCTCCTCATGCTAAAACCTTAGTCACACCAGACTCGTTCTCTCCCCCTCCATCCACATCCATTGGTCAATTCTCCTAAATCTCTCCTGCATTTTGAATTGAAGTGTATCAAACGTACAGTAAAATGCACAGATCCTGGGCAGAGTGACATGCCTTCACAAAGTGAACACGCTTACGGAACTACCACTCTGAGCAAAAAAAAAATGGAACACGATCAGCACCCTGGCCAGCCACTCTCCTCCTCCCTGTAGGCCACCACGGTCCTTATCTCACTTTGAACTTCATGAAAAGTGAATCTTACAGGGTATACTCTTTGGGGACTGCCTTCTTTGGCCCCAGATTGCATTTGTAATACGTTTGTTCCCATGGCCATATAGGATTTACTGGGTGCGTATGCCACAATTTATCCAGTTTACTGCCGAGAGGCATTCAGGTTGTCACCTGTTTTCTGAATGTGATGAGTTGTACTGCTCTGGACAGTCTCCGCCCCTCCAACCCAGTTTTATTGAGAAACACTTGCCATGCATCATTGTATAAGTTTAAGGTACACAGCCTGATGATTTGATTGACATATATTGTGAAATGATTAGCACAACAGGATTAATTATCAATCATCCCCTCATACAGACACAACAGAAAGAAAACAATTTTTCTTTGTGATAAAGACTCTTGGGATCTATTCTCTTAGCAACTGTTCTATATCTCGTACAGTAGTGTGGGTATTTCTGTACCTGTCTTTTGGTGCACATTGGTGTATATTTCTGTGGAATGTGTGCATGGGAATAGAATGCTGGGTCTCCTGGTATAAAGCCAACTAGTTTTCCAAGGCAGTTGTATACACCTCCTCTCCTACAGCCCCACATGCTTGCTTGCTTCACATCCTCCTTGACCTTTTAACCACTATAGTGAGTGCATGGAGGGACTTCATAGAGGTTATAGGATTTTTGTAATGCCAAATAAGGTTGAGCACATTTTAATATGCTTATTGGCCATTCGGATTTTGTTTTCTGTGCAGTTCTTGTTGTAGTCTTTTGTTGATTTCAGTATGCCTTGTATTAGAAACTCACAATCCTTGGCCAGCCAAGCCTCTTTGGATCTAATTTGACCCTAACTTTTTTTTTTTTTTTTTTAGTTTATTTATTTTGGGAGAGAGAGAGAGAGAGAGAGATTCGCAAGCAGGCTCCATGTTGTCAGCACAGAGCCCAACACAGGGCTCAAACCCAGGAACAATGAGATCAGGACCTGAGTTGAAATTAAGAGCAGATGCTTAACCGGCTGAGACACCCAGGCTCCCTGACACCAGCTTTCTTATCGGTCCCTCTGTCTCTATGCGGGTTGACCCTCCCACAGTCTCAGCACAGCCAGAGGGACGGCTGGGCCAAAGAGTCTGTGAACACTCAAGCTTGGGAGTAGAGCCAAACCATTTTCCAAAATATTGCATCAGTTTACATTCTGGGAATATGTGAAAGATCTCATAGATGCAGACCCTCTCTGAGCCTTGTACGAATAGACTTATTATCATTTTTTGCTAGGGTTGTGAAGCGATATCTTGTTGTGGTCTTGATTTGCATTTCCTGATCACTAATGGTAAACATGCCTTTATTCGTAGGCTTTTCCTCTTCTGGGAAAAGCTCTTTTTTTTTTTTTTTTTAAGTTTATTTATTTATTTTTGAGAAGAGAGAATGAGGGTGAGGGGGAGCATGCATGTGACCAGGCGAGGGGCAGAGAGAGAGAGGGAGAGAGAGAATCCCAAGCAGGCTCTGTGTTGTCAGCACAGAGCCCAACGTGAGGCTCCGTCTCACAACCGGTGAGATCATGACCTGAACTGAAATCAAGAGTTGGTCGCCCCACCGACTGAGCCACCGAGTCACCTTAAAAAGCTCATTCTTAATTTTTGCCCATTTCTCTACAGCACTGTTTGGGGGTTTTGTCTAAATTTAAATTAAGCACTTATGCTACTAGTCCTTTATTGGTTGCCTATATCGTGAATCTCTTCTCCCAACATTTAGCTTGTCTTTTAAAGTGTCATTTGATGAACAAACATTTTTAATTTTAAAATAGCTGTGCTTATCTGTCTTTTATTCCATAGACATTGCTTGGTGTGATTTGGGAAACCTCTTCCTCTCTGTATCTTCTACCAAGAATTTCAAGTTTTCTTTTGCATGTGTAAGTTCTTAATTCATCTGGATTCTTACACAGTATGAGTCAGGTTCCACTTTTGGTTTTTAACACATAGATGATCATCTTTTGCAGTTCCATTTGTTGAACACTCCCCCCTTTCCTCGATGGTATAGTGCATCACCTCTGTCGTGTGTACCACAGCATTCCGGGTCTGACTTGGGGCTTTTGTTCTCTCCCATCGATAAATGAATCCATCTCAGCCAGTGCCACACCATGTTAACTGTTAGTTCTCATCTCTGGGAGCATGAGTCTCCTTCTTGTTTTTCTATCTTAGAAGTGTCCAGGCTAGGGGTGCCTGGGTGGCTCAGTCAGTTAAGCATCTGATCTTGATTTTGGCTCAGGCCATGATCTCGGGTTTGTGAGTTTGAGCCCCACATTGGGCTCTCTGCTGTCAGCACAGAGCCCACTTCAGATCCTCTGTCTCCCTTTCTCTCTGCCCCTGGCCCACTTGTGCTCTCTCTCAAAAATAAATAAACATTAAAAAAAAATTGTCCAGGCTATGATTACCCCTTCACTCATCCATATACATTTTCAAATTATCTTAACAAGTTCCAAACAATCTCTCGTAAAACGTTGCAGTTCATAAAATGTTGAACTCACAGTTCATTTTGAACAAACGCATATGTGAATAAAAATGAAAGAAAGAAAAACTGGATTAAGTTCTCGGGTCATAATATCTAGTAAAATAGCAATAGAGACACCCAAAAGAAAACACAAGGCAGAAAATAAAGGTAAAAGCAGAAATTAATGAAATAGAGATTAGAGAAAGAATAGATCTAATTAATAAATTAAAATTTTTGTTTTCTAAAGAAATCAATGAAATAAACTACCAGTTGATGTAATCAAGAGGAAAAGGGATAAGCCACACAAGCACAAAATGAGAAAGGACAGTGGAGAGATAATTGAACAGAATAAATTTTGAAATTCAAAGGAAACTATGGTGCAAACTTCATTGCAAATAAATTTGCATTCTTGGATGAAGTTGATAGCTTCCTGGGGAAATGTAATTTACCAAACTGACCTAAATAAAGATAGAACGATTAAATAGATTAATTGCCATAAAAGAAACAGAGAAAATTATCAAGGAATTTCCTCACGAAACACTCCGCATTCTGATGGTTTCACAGGAGAATTTTGCCAAATCTTTAGGGACCAGATAGTC